TAAAGGAAATAGTTAACAGTTAATTGGTAACCTTTTGCTCTGCTGAAATTGTTTTTACCTATTTAATAGTTATTTTATAACACTCTGAAAATGTTGTAATTGCACAAGTATTACAGTTGCAAAAATGTAGTATGCACAATGTTTTAAGATTGTGATCGCTTTTCTGAGTGGATTTTGAACAGAGTTTTTGCTGTTTTAGGATAATCATTAAGAGAAGAAACACAGAGTATGGGAACCCAGTCTCCAATGGGTATATACTGTACCTTTCAAATATTTGCACATGGATTAATTTACAAAAGTAATATCTGTCTCTAAACTACTCCACATATGCTGCTCACACTCACGCGTGACGCTCCAGTCGTGAACATGCACTAGGATCTGGGGTCTGTCACAGTCTTCAGCGGGTGTGCCCAGGAGGGCCACCAGATGACTGTGTTCTGGGAGCACATGGCTTGTGGTTTGTTTGTCTGTTGCCATGTGCTCTCTCCTGTCTATTGTCTGGCCCCTCCCATCTTGTTACCTCGTTATTGTTTAAGTTGCTCCACCTGTGTCTCCCTCGTTAGCCTCCTCGTTTGGTTCCTATTTATTCTCCTGGTGTCTGTCATCCTGTGCTGATCTGTAATTTCTCATTGTGTGTGTTTCGTGTCTGCATGTGGTGCAGCTTTAGGCCTGCCTGTCTGTTTTTCCCCCTCGGGGTGGTTTGAGTTTGTTTTTGTTTCATTTTTTACTAAAATAAATAACCATTTCTCCTGCACTTGAGTCCTCGCTTCATCTCCCCGCACGCACCGTGACAGAGTCTTCCAGTGCACAGCGCCATGTGAGATGCATTAGCATAAGCTGACCTACATATCCAGGACTGCACACCAGCACTACACATTGTGCCCGCCAAACTGAATGGCACCTCAGCCATGCCACTGCTGAAACCACCATTGCTATGGAAACCAGAACTTCACTGGCAAGCCTCCAGTTTCTCGGTGCTTATCCCACCAAACTAAACACCCATAGAGCAGACAACACATGTACAGACCTGATGAAATGGAGACTTCTAAGAAAGATGCAAAGAAAATTACATTTTATGCACAGTTATCTTAGTAGCAACATGGAAGGCTCTTGGCTCTATGATGACATTTGTGTTTGTAAATTACACTGACTGACCACTAATTTAAGAGAGTGATGTTAATGCCTAGAAAGAAGTACCACGGCGGTACAATGTCACAATGATGAATCAGATGGTAATACCATGGAATTTTGATATATGGATTAATAATTAATAAGGATGTCTAGATTAAAAAAAAAGGAGAAAACTCTCAAAAACATAGGCTACTTCAAAATGCCAAATTCTTAGAAATTATAATCTATGTTTTCAAATAGTTTTAGAATTAGTTGAGTGCTGTAACCAATAAATAAACACCAAACGACATTAATTTCAACCTAATAATATATACATTATTTTCAACATAATAATATATATATATATATATATATATATATATATATTAAAAAAATTAAAACAAAATGTACACACACACATCCATCCATACATACATACATAAATATCAAGAATTATTTATTAAAATAAATAATACCAAGTTCCAAGTTCAAAACTCAATTTGACTGTCCAAATATTGATTTGGGAATTTTTTCAATGATATTTGAAATCAAATGATATATAAAAAATGTCACTTTATCACTTATTTTTATATAGTCAGAAAATATATTATTTTTTTATTCTGCCAATTATTATTATTATTATTATTATTATTTTGATTCTGCAATTTATTTATTTACTTTTCGTTCCTATAATCTCAGGAAAGTTACACCACCTAGAACCGTCTGTTTAAGCCCAAAAATATTAAAATGACTTTTAAGAAATGAACATAATACACAATAAAACATAATAGAAGACGTAACAGAAGATTTGCATCCAAGTGGGATGCATTTCAATTTTAAGCAGGGTCGTGCTAATGTAATCTCGATATTACCTTTTGTATTATCAAGATATCACTCATTTTATGCATTTCAAATTCTGTAAGTAGAAATCGCAAGTTTGATCTGTCAGATAGCTCACCGCATCCCTCCCAACAGGAAGCGCAGGATCATTCTGTCAGAGCTTTACAGCAGGTGTTGCACAGGTGAAACCGTTCCGTCTCCAAACGCTTAGATTACAAAAAGCTGCAAACGATATTCCAACCGCTGTTTATAATCCATCTTTTTTAATGCTGACGTGCTTTAATCGTCCCTCCGCAGGGAAACAGGTGTGTTTGTGGGAGTGGTTGCAAAAGCCTGGTACTATACCTCCCTACAGTGCCACTCACACTCACTAGGGCACTCGGCAGCAACTCACCTAACCTGTTGTGCTCTTCATTTGACTCTGGTAGTATGCTAGAAAACCCCTTCCCCCATACACAGTCAAATTAGCAGGCTTATATTTAGATCCATGCAGCACGTTTCAAATCTCTCAAAAATAACAAAGTAGGCTACTTGTAAACTCTGTACTAACTCTAGTAGACTAATAAACGTTTTCCATACGCACCGTAGCCTACACAGCGTCTCGCGACCGGTGTGGCAGATAAAACGGATGGAGACGCCGGTTCTTTGCCGGTGAGGGGCAAACCATTGACATGCAGATCACTTGGCAGGGAGCTCCAGAAATGCAGTCTGACTGGGCGTTTGATCAGGGTCGAAACGTCGCCAATAAACGTACATTCTCTTCAAACGCAGAACTATAACAGCTATGCCAGAATTCGTTTTTGTCCACATTAGAAAGCGAATTATTAGGGTTTGGGGTTGTTTGACTCTTCACAGTCTGCCTCTTCATTCACACCTGGCCAGTAAGAACTGCTTTAATTTTGCATACTAAATGAGGAAAGTTTCGAACGCCGTTTTTTCAGATAACGCAAGACTACGTGAGGCTGTAACCAGTGTTGGGGAAAGTTACTTTTAAAAGTAATGCATTACAATATTGCGTTACTCCATACAAAAAAAGTAACGAATTGCGTTACTTTGCATGGAAAGTAATGCGTTACATTACTTTCGCGTTACTTTCGCGTTACTTTTTAAAAATATAAAAGCCCTTTTTCACACCAAAAAGTGTAATGAATAAACCTCAGGCTGAAGCAAAAGTAAATTCACGTCTGTACAGTAGAACGTAGGAGAAGAAACACTCTTCAGCGATAAAAAAACAATGAAGCACAATTGTTGGCTTCTCTAAAGTCCTTTTTGCTTATTAGTATGGTTGAACTGGATCATCAAAGGTCAGCAGCAAAGACATCAGATAATAAAATGGGATTAGATGCATTTGTGTTATTTAACATATTTAATTATTGCAGGTTTGCGTCATATTCTGAGTTTGCATTTCACTGTTTTAATTCATTTTGATGAATACTAAATCTGTTTTTTGTGAGTGGGATGAATTAATGCACATTAACATTTAGTCTAGAACTACAGTAACATCATGTTCACACAGCACACACAATTCCTCTGGACTCCCGATTTCTCCCAATATGGGGCCAGGAGAGCTGTCAGTCAATAAATGGGAAAACAAAGTAACTGGCATTACTTTTTTGAAAAAGTAACTCAGATATTTTCTTGTAAATTAAAAAAGTAATGCGTTACTTTACTAGTTACTTGAAAAAAGTAATCTGATTACGTAACTCGCATTACTTGTAATGAGTTACCCCCAACGCTGACTGTAACCATAGCAACAGTAGTTCGCTCGAGCGTGCGGGTCGGTACGCTGCTATTGTTATTAATAATTTACATAGTTTACATGTAACAAGTATATTACCAAAAGTACGTTTAGTTGTTTTAGGGGCGCCAAAAAAGTCCTTTAAATTTGTACAAAACGTTGATATTTCTTTAAAAACTTCATTAAATGACAAACGAATGCGTGAACTATCCAGGAAAGTAGCATAACGAATGCTCATCAGTAGGGTAAGATCCCAAAAAGTGACATTCCATATTGATAAAAATAATAAATGATAAAATTGAATGTTCCCTTAACGTTCATATAAAATATAGTTTATAAAAGGTAAAAAAAAAAAACTGAACGTTCAGAGAATATTAAAAAATAACGTTTCAATAACGATAGCAAAACGTTATTACAACATATTTTTGTTTGCTGGGATGGGGTAAAATTCACCCCCCCCCCCCCCCCCCCCCAAATACTAGAAAATATACAACATTGTGCTCTGTTAAATATCAAATGTTGTTGTGTCTGTATTTAAATTTGTGAAATATAAATAAAAAGACCAAATAAGGCCCTTGGGGTAAGATGCCCCTAGCCTAATATGTATATAGTAGGCTTACCACAATAATGTATTTACATACTTTATAATGCTTACATTGCAGAGGCATTAAAACAACCATTCTTGTACAGATAATTGATTGCTTTTTAATTTGATCTAATACACTGAAATGTGGAAAGGACAATAATATATTTAGCTGCTCCTTACTAGCTTTGATTGAAGTAAACATTGTTATACAGCATAAAGTTATTATTATTTTTAAATCCATCAATCGTTGATGCAGCCACTGGTTATAGCTACACCAAATTTTAAGGACAGCCAAAGTTCTAAACGGACAATTACAGCTATATTATCAGTTTGACCAAGATTTATTTAATTAATTATTATTAATATATTTTTTTCTTTCTTGTCTTTTTTTATTTTATTTTGACACCTAAGACAAAGACATAACTTTACTATGGTTTTGTTTTGGTAGGCCCTGATGCTAATTTGTAGACAGCGCCCCCGTGTGGTCGAGGAAAGCAGCTAAACTTCAGTTCAAATTTGAAGTGAACCAAATCATTATTAGTATATTCTTGGATATACTAAAGTATGCAGGGTCATCGTTGAAATTCCTAAATTTTTTTACAATGAATGAACAGGCTATATCTTACCATTTGTCAAGAGAGAACAATGCTCACTGTTGTCACAAAAATATTTGGAGAACAGAACAGAAATTGTGTAACTTTACTTTGCACATGAAGTATTACTTACCATATTCTTATCTGGTGTGACAGGGTTTACAGTCACATTATCTTCGGCTTTTGAGGATTCTGGTTCTCTCATTGTATCCACACTCTCATACACATTCTTGTCTTTATTCATGGGGCTCCAGATGTCACCCCAGCCAGCTCTATTGAGCATCTGAATATCTTGATCCAGGGCCTTTGTGTCCACCCGAGGCCTTTCTGTTGCATTTACGGTTGATTTTATCTCCAGTTCTGGGGATTGAGGTGTGTTGACTGTATGGAGAAGCTTCAGTAAGATAGAGGGTGGTGTTTCCCCATTAGTTGGGGAAGCTGGCTTGGAAGACTTTTCTTGATCTGTGTGTTCAGGCACAGGACCGGCCTCTGCTTCAGTATTTATGGGATCTGGATCCAAACCCTTCAGTTCAAAGAATTCCTTTGGAATAATATATGTTGATATTCTATGACCGTCTTTCTCCGTGTCTCGTTTTATAGAGGCTGGGACTCGAAGCGTGACCTCAGCGGGCTCAATGATGGTGGGAAGACTATCAGGAGCTGTCTCTGAGTTAGACTTGAGGGATTCACTTCCACTAAACTCTACAGAAGGGTGCAGTGAAGTTTGGTTGGTCTCAGGTGGGAGTTCGGTCACATAGGTTGCTGGGATGAAAAAAGGCTTGTCAGTCCCATCCCTCCGAACATGCCACCAGGTTTCATTGGTCTTGGCTACTAGCATGTAGTGCTCGTTGGGTTTGATGGACACCTCTCTGCCATCTCGAGCAGTGTATTTGTATTCATAATTCACCAGAACCTGCTGTGAAAGTGACATAGTGGCCCACTTCTG